CCACAATGAACATGATACCAAACAATGACAAAATGAACATAATACTAAACAACTACACAATAGACATGATACAACACAATGACAAAATGAACATAATACTAAGCAATTGCACAATGAACATGATAGAAAACAATGACAAAATGAAGATAATAGAAATCAATTACACAATGAACATGATACAACACAATGACATAATGAACATAATACTAAGCAATGACACAATGAACATGATACCAAACAATGACAAAATGAAGATAATAGAAATCAATTACACAATGAACATGATACAAAACAATGACATAATGAACATAATACTAAGCAATTGCGTTAATGAACATGATGAAAACAATGACAAAATGAGAAGATAATAGAAATCAATTACACAATGAACATGATACAAAACAATGACATAATGAACATAATACTAAGCAATTACACAATGAGACATGATACAAAACAATGACATGAAGAACATAATACTAAGCAATGACACAATGAACATGACACAAAACAATGACAAAATGAAATAATAGAAATCAATTACACAATGAACATGATACAAAACAATGACATAATGAACATAATACTAAGCAATTGCACAATGAACATTAAACAAAACAATGACAAAATGAAGATAATGAAATCAATAACGCAATGAACATGATACAAAACAATGACATAATGAACATAATGCCTAAGCAATTGCACAATGAACATGATACAAACAATGACAAAATGAAGATAATACTAAGCAATTGCACAATGAACATAATACAAAACAATGACAAAATGAAGATAATGAAATCAATAACACAATGAACATGATACAAAACAATGACATAATGAACATAATACTAAAGCAATTGCACAATGAACATGATACCAAACAATGACAAAATGAAGAATAATGAAATCAATTACACAATGAACATGATACAAAACAATGACATAATGAACATAATACTAAGCAATTGCACAATGAACATGATACCAAACAATGACATAATGAACATTAATGCTAAGCTTAACTATACAATAAACATGACACAAAACAATGACATAATGAACATAATACTAAGCAATTCCACAATGAACATGATGCCAAACAATGACAAAATGAACATAATACTAAGCAACTACACAATAGACATGATACAACACAATGACAAAATGAACATAATACTAAGCAATTGCACAATTGAACATGATGAAAACAATGACAAAATGAGATAATAGAAATCAATTACACAATGAACATGATACAACACAATGACATAATGAACATAATACTAAGCAATGACACAATGAACATGATACCAAACAATGACAAAATGAAGATAATGAAATCAATTACACAATGAACATGATACAAAACAATGACATAATGAACATAATACTAAGCAATTGCACAATGAACATGATAGAAAACAATGACAAAATGAAGATAATAGAAATCAATTACACAATGAACATGATACAAAACAATGACATAATGAACATAATACTAAGCAATTACACAATGGTGGACATGATACAAAACAATGACAAAATGAACATAATACTAAACAACTACACAAATGAACATGATACAACACAATGACAAAATGAAGACATAATACTAAAGCAACTACACAATGAACATGATACAAAACAATGACATAATGAACATAATACTAAGCAATTGCACAATGAACATGATACCAAACAATGACAAAATGAGAGATAATACAAATCAATAACGCAATAGACATGATACAAAACAATGACATAATGAACATAATACTAAGCAATTGCACAATGAACATTAAACAAAACAATGACAAAATGAAGATAATAGAAATCAATAACACCAATGAACATGATACAAAACAGTGACATAATGAACATAATACTAAGCAATTGCACAATGAACATATGATGCCAAACAATGACAAAATGAAGATAATACTAAACAATTGCACAATGAACATTAAAAAACAAAACAATGACAAAATGAAGATAATAGAAATCAATAACGCAATGAACATGATACAAAACAATGACATAATGAACATAATACTAAGCAATTCCACAATGAACATGATACCAAACAATGACAAAATGAACATAATACTAAGCAACTACACAATAGACATGATACAACACAATGACAAAATGAACATAATACTAAAGCAATTGCACAATGAACATGATAGAAAACAATGACAAAATGAAGATAATAGAAATCAATTACACAATGAACATGATACAACACAATGACATAATGAACATAATACTAAGCAATGACACAATGAACATGACACCAAACAATGACAAAATAGAGATAATAGAAATCAATTACACAATGAACATGATACAAAACAATGACATAATGAACATAATACTAAGCAATTACACAATGAACATGATACCAAACAATGACAAAATGAAGATAATAGAAATCAATTACACAATGAACATGATACAAAACAATGACATAATGAACATAATACTAAGCAATTACACAATGAACATGATACAAAACAATGACAAAATGAACATAATATAAGCAACTACACAATAGACATGATACAAAACAATGACATAATGAACATAATACTAAAAAACAATTGCACAATGAACATGATAGAAACAATGACAAAATGAAGATAATAGAAATCAATAACACAATGAACATGATACAAAACAATGACATAATGAACATAATGCTAAAGCAATTACACAATGAACATGATACCAAACAATGACAAAATGAACATAATACTAAACAACTACACAATAGACATGATACAACACAATGACAAAAATGAGATAATAGAAATCAATTACACAATGAACATGATACAAAACAATGACATAATGAACATAATACTAAGCAGTTACACAATGAACATGACACAACACAATGACAAAATAGAACATAATACTAAGCAATTACACAATGAACATGATGAAAACAATGACAAAATGAAGATAATAGAAATCAATTACACAATGAACATGATACAAAACAATGACATAATGAACATAATACTAAGCAATTACACAATGAACATGATACAAAACAATGACAAAATGAAGATAATAGAAATCAATTACACAATGAACATGATACAAAACAATGACATAATGAACATAATACTAAGCAATTACACAATGAACATGATACAAAACAATGACAAAATGAAGATAATAGAAATCAATTACACAATGAACATGATACAAAACAATGACATAATGAACATAATACTTAGCAATTGCACAATGAACATGATACAAAACAATGACAAAATGAACATAATACTAAAGCAACAAATGACATGATGAAAACAATGACATAATGAACATAATACTAAGCAATTGCACAATGAACATGATACAAAACAATGACAAAATGAAGATAATAAATCCAATAACATAATGAACATGATACAAAACAATGACATAATGAACATAATATAAGCAATTACACAATGAACATGATACCAAAACAATGACAAAATGAACATAATGCTTAAGCAACTACACAATGAACATGATACAACACAATGACAAAATGAAGATAATAGAAATCAATTACACAATGAACATGATACAAAACAATGACATAATGAACATAATACTAAGCAGTTACACAATGAACATGATACAAAACAATGACAAAATGAAGATAATACTAAGCAATTACACAATGAACATGATACAAAACAATGACATAATGAACATAATACTAAGCAATTACACAATGAACATAATACAAAACAATGACAAAATGAAGATAATAGAAATCAATTACACAATGAACATGATACAAAACAATGACATAATGAACATAATACTAAGCAATTACACAATGAACATAATACAAAACAATGACAAAATGAAGATAATAGAAATCAATTACACAATGAACATAATACAAAACAATGACAAAATGAACATAATAGAAATCAATGACATCAAATAACAATAATTCTTCAAAGCACAAAATGAAGTTAGCAACCAGTATGAATTATCTTCACGTGATAACAATACTTTGGATATTATTAATTATCAGTATACATGTTTACTGTTTACATTTACTCAGTTGAGTTGCCTCTGCAGGTGTTTGTGATATTGTCATCAATATATTCGTATAATGAATACGGAATGGTACCACAGAACACATCTTTTCTGACGATTATAGAAATATTTTTGTCTCCTTTATTCACAGATGGAGAAACATTGTCGTTGTGAAGTTCGGAGATTCCCGTTGGAGTTCATGCCTTCAAGGTTGCAGAATCTTAAATGCTACATATGGAAACCGATTATTATACAGGTGAGCTATTTTCTGTTGCCGTACATTAACATGTGCATTTTCAGGAGAAAATATCAAATTCATTGAATATTTTCCAGTATAAGATGTATATAGACTTTAGGCAAACAGTTTTAAGCAACATATCAGCGCATATAAATCCGTACGTAACCTTGTCTGTGCATGCAGTTCGGAGATAAACCCGTGAATATACTGTAGAGTATACCTGTAAACACCACGGCGGTAAACTGAACGAAGAACTGAACACAGAGATTAATTGTTTTCAGGTTATCATTACAAATCTGAACTGTTTGGTGTCAGCAGGGATGATGAGTGAGAGAGGATGACTCCAGACAATTACACTATGTACATGTGCAAGCTTGTTTTGACCATTAATGTATTATATAATCACATAGTTTCAATCTCTGTGTTTTCCTTTGACTTTTCAAAGTATTCCCCGAACGTACACTTATATGTATTTAGAGTCAATTACTTCCTGCCTAAAAATAAATGACCAAACATATTTTTGTGATTGTAAGTGCCCCATTCTTTCTCCTCATATGGGCCGCTCGTCACGCTGAAGACCTGGGTTCGATTCCCCATATGGGTACAAAGTGTGGAGTCCATTTCTGGTGTCTCCGCTGTGATATTGCTGGAATATTGCTAAAAGCGGCGTAAAAATCATACTCACTCACTCTTCATATCGTAGTTGTTTCTACGCTGGGGTAAAATCGATCAGACTGTTTTGCGAAGATTTCAAAGATGGTCATTTGATACTTGCGCTGTGTTTTGGCCAGGGTTAGTGTCTTCAAAGCCTACATCAAGTTTTCAAAACGTTCTATGGTGGACATGTGTTTTGTATTTCTTTAGTTTGGCGCATCAGTGACCGAAATAGTGTATGATGCAATTTCTCATTTTCGACTTGCACCATATATCAACAACAGCTCAGATACATTTTCTCCTCTGTTGTTGTAGGCCAACATCTGTTGTTGTAGGCTAACATACATAAGGCAGACATACTGGTGTCGATGGACGCGTCTGTAACATCTTAGGCTAGGTATTATATCTAGCTGTTGTACTTTCAGGTTAACCTACATAAGACAGACATACTAGTGTGGATGGACGCGTCTGTAACATCTTAGTATAGGTTTGTATCTAGTTGTTGTACTCTCAGGCTAACCTACATAAGGCAGACATACTGGTGTGGATGGACGCGTCTGTGACATCTTAGTATAGGTTTGCATCTAGTTGTTGTACTTCCAGGCTAACCTACATAAGGCAGACATGTTAGTGTGGATGGACGCGTCTGTAACATCTTAGTATAGGTTTGCATCTAGTTGTTGTACTTTCAGGCGAACCTACATAAGGCAGACATACTGGTGTGGATGGACGCATCTGTGAGGTTCTCCAACAGTATCATCAAATCCCTGCTAGATGATGCAGAGAGACGAGGCATGGTCTTAGCCTCAGGTACAAACTCTGTGGCTTGGCTGCACACTCTACAGGTTACAATGAACTACATGAAGGAAGACGTCTGCACCCTAGCTCCAGTGTTAGAGCATGAAGCAACATTCATCATGTTTCACAACGAGCAGTTGATACAAGAGGCCGTTGTGAAACCATGGGCAGCTTGTGCCATGAGTGCTAAGTGCATGTGTCCTCGGGATCCAGAACAAGACAGCTTCTGTGACGTGAACATCCACAAATACAAGAAGTGTCATCGATTTGACCAATCAGGAATAAACATCATCCTCGCCAAACTTTTTCGGGACCACACAAGTAGTTTTATTTCGCCATACTATTACTATGTCAGTTTACAGCGTGATGATTCTTATCTTTATTTTGATGAACTGGAGAAATGGCATGCAGCGCGGGCTAGTCGTCTCCCTTGACAATAGATCTGTTGTACTGTATTCTTAGGACCAGCTTTGCTTAGGGTTTGGTGTATAGAAATATTCCAAGTATTCAGAGTATTCTGAGACATTCGGAGTATTCTGAGACTTTCTGAGTCATTCTGCACATTCTTAGTTTTGTGAGACATATGTAGAATAAAGACATTATGTTACTTCGGAACATTTCAGAACCGGATGTTATTAACAAAAGGAACCCCGAAAGGATGAAACCTGTGGCATTGCTCTGGAATGAGTAAATTCACCTATCAGAGAACTTTCATTTCGAAACCTGTGTGTCGAATGTCTTTGGTTCCGCCTGAAAAAGGTTTCGACTTGCCAATTACCAAGACTCAATAGATGCCGCCTAACAACATCGATAATCTGCAGGGTATACGTTACAATCACTCTCCACTATACCCTGGATGCATCCACGGCTTGGCCCGATGATTATGTTACAGCAATCTAACCCACTCAGCCAACGCCTTCTCCACAAAAGCGTAAGTCGGACATCTGGTAGTCCAGATCACTAGAAACAATAAAAGGAATGTAAAAGTTGTCTGTTGTTATACTGTTTTATACATTTGCTTTTACGAAAATGTCAAAGGTCCAACGCACAGCGCTAGGTGGGAGAATGTATAAAGATAACAATATAATTATGAAGCCAATTAGATAGGATTAATATACAAAGATAACAATGTTAGGATGAAGCCATTGAGATAAACGGTAATATAATGTAACACGGCGGTGATTATAGAACAATGGAGTATACACTGGGAAGGTAAATGCCTTTGTCTCGGTTAATGGCTGGCTTCTTTATCTGGATCTCGATGTTTTCTTGACGTTAACTCTTTGTACAGTGGTTGATGCTGATATGTAGAATCCTGGTTTGTTTTCAGGAAATATTTGAACACAACCCCACACTTGGCTTTGTCACTACAATATATTGGTATCTTTGTACATTAATCCTATCTAATTTTCTTCGTAATTACATGTATATTGTTATCTTTGCACATTCTCCCACTTTGTTTTATCTATATATATTCACTCTGTACACTGACTCGGCATTCACCTGATGAAAGAGCAAACATTAGCTCTGAAACGTCGTATAAAGAATAAAAAGAAGTTGTTGTCCATAAAATCGTGTCATGAATGAATGAATGAATGAAGCACGAGTCAGCACGGCTGTACGCGTGCCTCTGTTGATGATAAAGCATCCTGTACAAAGTAAATATTTCCAAGACGCTTGAATGTGGTCCAGTGAATAACTTTCGAATGCGGTGGAGGTGTAGTATGTGTAGTATGTGTCATTAAGAACAGTGACCCATAAAGATTCGGGTTAGAATTGGCTTTCAGCAATCCATGCTTGTCGTAAAAGGCGACTAACGGGATCGGGTGATCAGGCTCGCTGACTTTGTTGACATGTCATCGCATCCCAATTGTGTAGATCGATGATCATGCTGTTGAACACAAACATATCACACAGCTGGAATATTGCTAAGTGTGGCGACAAACAAAAAACACTGTGAAGAATGAAAGCATATTCTGAGATCTAACCGGTTGTACAAACCTCGTAATCCTATTTTTATTCAACAATGAGCCACCCTAATTAGGTTGTGAGATACCAATAAAAGCATAAAATAACATTGAGAACATGAAAAAAACCACTCCAAAACACACACGCACCCACGCGCACGCACACACACACACATACCAGCCATACAGACAATATTAACATCGTTGGTGCACACATTCATATGCAAATACATGTTTGATACCTGTGATACCATAAACACTGAAGTAATATATAAACAATAACACACCTCGAATAGAGCACACATTCGTGTACTATTATGTTAACCATAAACATATTTTATACCTGTGATACCATAAACACTGAAGTAATATATAAACAATAACACCCCTGGAATAGAGCACACATTCGTGTAGTGTTATGTTAACCATGAACATATTTGATACATGTGATACCATAAACACTGAAGTAATATATAAACAATAACACACCTCGAATAGAGCACACATTCGTGTACTGTTATGTTAACCATGAACATATTTGATACATGTGATACCATAAACACTGAAGTAATATATAAAACGATAACACCCTGGAATAGAGGGTCACACATTCGTGTACTGAAATGTTAACCATGAACATATTTGATACATGTGATACCATAAACACTGAAGTAATATATAAACAATAACACACCTCGAATAGAGCACACATTCGTGTACTGAAATGTTAACCATGAACATATTTGATACCTGTGATACCATAAACACTGAAGTAATATATAAACAATAACACACCTGGAATAAAACACATATTCGTGTACTGTAATGGTAACCGTGTACATATTTTGTATGGTAATATACGTATCCAATATCTGGTATCCCCCGCCGTGGTATTGCTCAAAGCTGCGTAAAACTTAACTCACTCACTCTCACAACATCCCTCCATTTCTGTCCTCCCTTCTTCCACTCTAAGGAAAGCAAGCAGTTTTGATGTAACAGTATGAATCAGAATGAATAAAATGAATCGTCAAAACCACTGTAACAGTTTCATTGCATTGCCATTATGCCCCAGGCAGTCCAATTCCCTGTAAAAGGTTCTGGTATTTCAAGAGAAATTAAACCAAGTTACATGAGTCATGTTTCCTAGTGAACCTGAGTAATGAATTGATAGTAGACTCCACTGAGTCGGCTCCAGGTCGAGACCATAGCTGCAACTCCAGCATCGAGCTCACCATGTCGGCTTTTTGTGCGTTGAACACATGCATCATGACTGCCCTCTTGATCTCCTCTTGGCTTGCACAATGAAACATCCCATTTGATTGTGGGAGGACTGGGTACAGTAACGTTTTATTCTTTACATGGAAGGTCTGCAAAGAATGCATGGCGTAGAAGAGTACTCCAAGAGAGAAAACATCACTGGCTGTGGAATAATGACCTGTGAATACGTCAGGGGCGACATACAGAGGGGTACACAAGCCGGTAGTCATGTAGTAGGTGTAGGAGATGGTTGCCAGGTTACTAAATGGAAAGGTCAAACGAGCAAGTCCCGCATCAGCAATCTTGCAGGTGGGTATATGATGAGCTCGGGCCACCAGCAGGACGTTGCTGGGTTTGATGTCTCTGTGGATGATCCTTTGTCTGTGGAGATGGTGAATACCCCGTGCCATGTCCAGCATGAAATAATTTAACGTTCCCTCTCCTGGCCTGTTTTTTATGACATAGTCATTCAGTGTTCCAAGGTTACAGTACTCCATTTGAATATTAATCTCAACATCAATCCGCGCTGTAATCACTTTTACGATATTAGGGTGATCAGCGCACATCGTCAGTGTCCGTAATTCTCCCTCGAGACGTTTACCATCCAGGTGGGACACCTCCTTCAGTTTCTTCAGAGCATATACATGACCACCGATCGCCAACTTGTACACAGCACCAAACTGACCTTCTCCAAGTTTTCCATACATTGCATTATAGGTCACCTTACAAATTTAATTCAATGTTGATCGAAAGCTGGTAGCTATTTCTCAGCTTTGAATGCTACAAGTTCACGTTACAGTGGATGTCACTCAATACCCATCATGAAAGTAGCAGTTCAGGAGGGAAACTATGCATGTCTTATTAGGATAGCTGTAGCTCGCTCCTCGACATACTACCACCGCATACATTGTACATAGAACGGTGTAAATATAGACTGGCTGGTGAGGTCAAATATAGGTTGAGCGGCTTATCCTGTGCCTTGAAGTGCTGGGCTCGAGCACATCCTTCCGAAGGATTACACGTTAACATTGGATTCTTATCATAATATTACAGACAAACGGGATCGGGTGATTAGACTCGCTGACTTGTTTGACACATGTCATCGTATCCTAATGGCGTAGATCGATGATTATGCTTTTGATCACCGGATTGTCTGGTCTAGACTCGATTAAATACACACCACCGCCATATAGCTGGAAAAGTGCTGATTGCGGCGTTAAACAAACAAACACAATATTACATATCTGTATTTCTCATAGTTTTGACAATGAATCAAGTAAATGAATGTCTGTTAGAATAAGTGTATGAAGACATGTTTCAAGACTTTATAAGTAAACAGTTTGTTTGTATGTACGCCTTACTAATACTATCTGTCGCACGTGATGAAATTAGTGATTTCTCAGTGATGTCCAACGTTCAGGTTTGCATGCATTTCTTCTTCACTCTTGGTAGGGGCGGTGGGGTAGCCTAGTGGTTAAAGCGTTCGCTCGTCATGCCAAAAAACCCGGGTTCGATTCCCCACATGGGTAAAATGTGTGGAACCATTTCTGGTGTCCTCGTGATATTGCCGGAATGATGCTAAAAGCTGCCTAAATCTAAGAATGTGAAAAGGGGTGATAAGGGGTGATAAATGACAGGTTTGATAAATCCAAACTCACTCACTCACTCACCCGGGATAGATCACTGACACACAAACAACACATGATTCATGTGAATGCATGTCAGCGTGACCCAGATATGACCCAGCTTTGATAGGTCCGCCTGTACAAACCAGTAAATCTCTTCCTGCGTTGATATGAATACATCATCTCACATTCTTAACGCGAATTTCTGAGGAATCTAATTTATTGTTTTACAGCCTAAATAAGGAGTTCTATGGAACTGTCACGCCGTCAACTAGTGACGCTCCAAGGCAATACGGGACGGTGGGGTAGCCTAGTGGTTAAAGCGTTCGCTCGTCACGCCGAAGATCGAAGATCGGGTTCGATTCCCCACAATTGGGTACAATGTGAGCAGTCCATTTCAGGTTCCCCCGCAGTGATATTGCTGGAATATTGCTTAAAGCGACGTAAAGCTATACTCTCTCACTCCAAGGAAATACAGTTTATAGATGATTCCACTCGGTGGACAAATGACAGGTTTGATAAAGCATCACCAGTTGGTTAAACAGTCCGGCCATAATCATAATCATGCAGTTCGTAAATATTATTTTTGAATGGTGGTACACGCTTGACAAAAGCTCAGTTCTTATTCGGTAGTTTGTCATGTCCATGGGGCTGCCTGTGAAGATCTGGGTTAGAATTGATCTTCAGCAGGCAAGGTGTCACCAGGTGGCAGGCTCGCTGACTAGGTTGGCACATGTCAACGTATCCCAATTTCGAACATCAATGCTCATGCTGTTGATCACTGGATTGTCTGGTCCAGACACGAGTATTTACTGTCATACTGACATACGTGGACTGTCTGATAATTACAAGAGCTGTTATCAGGTAAAAATGCATCCCCAAACCGTTAGAAAATTACATCACATTCAATATTTAGATTTTCGGTTATCCTAATGAGTGTTTTAAGGTTGGGAGAGCAATGGTGAAGAATGTCCCGAGTCGCAAGAAGGGGAAGAAAACAGTCGAAGGGAGTGAGTGAGGTTTTACGTCGCTGTTAGCAATATTCCAGCAATATCATGGCGGGGGGACACCAGAAATGTCATTCACACATTGTACCCATACCCGCAGTAGTAATGATATACAGAACATATCGATCTTACATTGAAATCGACAAGGACACACATGAGTTCAAGGTCAGACACAGTAACAGTTATAACGAATCAAAATGATATATCGGAACATGTGATCAAGATCAATACAGGCTCGAATCATGTAAATAGACCTTTGACACGGGAAGCCAATCTCAAAGCCGACAATCTCAAATTGTCAAGGTAAATAGAGTCTGTCAGTTCAAAAGCAAACCCTGTCTTGTTTATTCTCACAAACAAATTACAACATAATGTCTCTCAAGCTATCGCTGTAATAGTCTATTTCCTCTAATGAAGATATTATTCTAACTTCTTGAACGCCGTGACAATAGAATGCAAAATAATGCCATTACATCCTATATTTGGAGACCCTTAGATCAGGATTCTTTGCCTACTGAGCGTTCTCAGAATTTGCAGATGGAAATATACTGTCGTGTATACGGTAGATAAATCCTTGCGCTTATCTCCCATTAGTTAGACAGCAAATTATTAAACAGCCAGTTGTTAGACAGTGGAATAGGGTATTAATTAAGACAACACCCACATCCATAATGGTACAGCCCAATTAGATTGCTCCGACGATTAGAGTGTGCCAGTGGTTAATCGGTTCATGTTATTGTTGATTTTCTATTACAATGTTATGTGGTTGTAGCATGTGGTCTAATCTTTCTCATTTCACGCTTGATCTATTTAACCCTTGTCAAAATGTTTGGTTTAGTTTTATTAATTTTTTTTTTTCTCTAAACGTCAAACAAACTAATTTTGGTGAGCACTGTCACAACTAGAAGGTAGGTATAAATAATTCCACATACACCTTGATGATGTATCAGCGTGGCTGAGTCGAATATGTCACTTTGCAGGGAGGGACTCAACAAATACCCCTGAACGGCTATCTACACAGCAGAAACAGTGTTAGACAGACAACCACTCGCTGGAGCTGTGTGAAGACCTGCACTGGAAGATGTTCCACTTCTGGGGAAGAACCATACCGGGCACCACCATCCTACAGAAGATACTGTACAATGAGAAAACGAGCAAGACGCGAGACCACGCAGATGCATACCATTTATAACGAGCAGTTAGAGGAAGAAAATGAAGACCAGATTCCTTCTCAAGCATTAGTAGTTCCCTGTACAGACATCGCCTGCACTACCCCACTCACTTTCTGAAGTAGAACTGGAAGGAAGATGGAAAGAGACAACAGACGGTCGCCCTTTCCTTTCTTTGAGATGGTGACAAAGACAAGCTGCTCCTCTTTACCCTCGAAACAGTTAGAAGCTCTGCAAGCAGCTGAGATTCTCTACATGGGTGGGAAATTTACTGCCTGCCCAGAGATGTGGAATCAAGTCTACATCACTCTCTTGAACGCCGTGACTATGGAATACAAAATAATGCCATGAAATCCTACTTTTGATGACCGTTAGATCTCAGATTCGTGAAGATGGATTATTTGCCCTCCTGAGCCTTCTGAGAATTTGCATTTGGAAATTCATTGCCATGTATACGGTAGATTAATCCTTGCTATCAGCAGGCAATGTTGAAAGGCCGCACGATGTCACATATGCGTCAGATGGACGCGATGATGGCGGTGGATCATACAGTTCAAAAGGTGTCCAGAAAGATTACAAACAGACGTGTTGTATGTGAGTAGTCATATCATGTTCCTTCTATACACATTTAACTAATTTAATTAAGAGATGTGGACGCTATTGTACATGTACTTTACGAAGTATTGACCCACTTAATTAGTTTACTGTCTACTCGTCCTCAGGTGAGGAGCGGATCAATGCAAACAACGCCGTAGAATAATGCACCTCGAATATCTTCCACCAACAGAATCCATGTGCTTTAAAGGGGAACAATAACGGTGTAAATCAGTCCGTAAACTGGCGGCGCAATTAAAATCTTTGATGACTCCAGCTAGTCGCTGAAAGTTAGTTTCTAATAGTAGCACTATTACACAGTTTTTTCAGTAAAGTCTTACATACAATTCTGTAATGTTTTGGGAAAAGGGTGATATAGCCGTTCAACCCGCTGAATCCCGCCTTGCTGAGGTGCGTGATGGCAGAATCTTGTGATCGTTGATTCCAATTCTGGACTTCCTCATTTTGCATCTCGGTCCGTTTCTAGATCAGTATGTATAGACACCGCGCTTAGACATTCTCCTTGTGTCAGTGTTCTCTGAACACCTACATATTAATTCATAAAGAAAGATACTTTATGGATGACAACTTATATATATATGGTGCGACTGCCATGTCCCTGATACTCATAGAAGTCTACATAACCTCCTTTGAGCAGCAAGCACTCAGCACATCACCCATCAAACATATCTGCTGGTACAGGAAGGTCGATGACACGTTTGTCATTCTACAACAAGACCAAGACCCAGCAATCCTCCTGGAACACCTCAACCAACAGCACCCCCGGGTCTAGTTCTCCATAGAAACAGAGACGAACGGCCAACTTCCCTTTCTAGATGTCCTCGTAACCAGAACCCCACCTAACAATATCAAACTAGTGTCGACAGAAAGCCCACCCACTCCGACCAATACATTAATTTGACTCCAACCAAATCTTGAGAACTCAAATTTAAACAGGCATAATCTCCATCTTTAGCAATCGAGCCATCAACACCTTTCCACCAGTCCTACTGCAGAACGTCAGCACCTCCGCCATGTTTTCACCAAGTTCAACCACTACTCATCCATGCTAGTCGACAAAATTATCAGCACCACACTTCAGCCAACAAGAAACCCGGCGACCAACAACCCTGAACCAGCACCCATCGTATCTCTCTGCCCTTTATAAGGAAGACCATCAGTCGTCTCCTGAAGCGACAAGCAGGCATCGAAACCTACTTTACCAGCTCTACACCACTGAAAACCCTACTGGGAGCTAATGGCAACCATTCTCGCCAAACACCAAACGGACTTCACTAAACGCAAGCTCACCGAAGCCATTCACATCAAACGCCATAAGCCCACCATCAACCGTGACCAAGGATACTTCATTCCATCAGCTTATAATCCACTCCTCCACCAAGCCCAATCTATTGTATAAACATTGCACCTATTGCATAA